GCTCCAACATAAAAACAGTTTTATCATTAAAGTTTTTGTAGCAAATCTGTGGAGGTACATATTTTATTGCTATATACATGAAAATATGACCTGTCACTTAATTTTATAAGTGAAATATTTCAGCATAGGGCCACTTTTAATGTTGAGAAAGAATTCTTATAAGAAAAGGTGATTCTTTGCTATGAAATTCCTTGATGTAGCAAATGTAATTAATGAAGATCTGGATAATTTGAATGCAGATCTCACTCTCAGAACAGCATGTTGTCATTGTGCATGACTATAGCTTTCTGCCAAATTTAGTCATGGCATTGTATTTGTGGTCACTTCAAATCCCAGTTACAACAACTGCTGTAAGAAATGGTTCAATGATTAGACATTTATCTGCTAATAATGGGGAATTTAGTCATATAGATAAATAATCTGAAGATAAATTCATATTGTGGCACCAATATGACCAAAAAGGAATGCTTTTGGCAATATTCTGTTGTTGGGTGGCACTTTTATTTCTTAATGTTGCACTATAATTAGCTTATTTTTCACAATTGTAAAATTTTTTGAATTGTTTTTTTTTTTTTTTTTTATTTATTTTCTAGACCAATAATGCATTAATTAAAAAAAAAAAAAACAGCCAGCAAATCACCTTTGTAACACTTTCTGAAAAAATAAATTTTGTTAATTTTTACAATTTATTTATTTTATTTTTGTCCATCTCTGAAAATATTTGTGACCATGTTTGCTATCTTGATAAAAATATCAAAGCACAAAAAAAAACTTCATCTGATATTAACATGTTTCTATGTTCCACTTTCAAACAAGTAGTTTGCAAATTGAAGAAACTTGATACAATTGGGCCACTCTTTCCATACCTGATATCTTGATTGTTCTCTTCCTTATTTTTAACAGTTGAAATGTCCCACCTTTTCTGATATAAATTTAGAAATGTTGATTATGCAGAGTTGTAATCTTGAAAAATTAGTAAATTTTCAGTCTTTCTGGTCAGATGGAAGATCTGTTAAGAATGTAAATATTTAATAGCTTTCTACTGACTAGCCAGGCATTAAATCTTATTGTAATTTGTGTAATTTTCTTGAATTTTTTTTTTTTAATTGATAAAAATATCCAGTGTTTTTTTTTGTTTTTTTTTTTTTTCAACCTAGGTTTACATATGCAGTTATATTGGCTTTTAAAGAAACAATGTTCCAGTATTAGAATATTGCCTGCAGTCACAATGGCATCACTTTTCCTTATACTAGGGATCTAATCTGGAATTGAAATCTTTTTCTGAGCTTTGGGAGAGATTGGCATTTGCAGACTTGCAAAGGTAATATTGTAAGTCAGTATATTTTACGTTTAACACAAATTACTGTTTATGGAAGTTTTTCATTAAAGCAAAAATAATGATTGGCAATATATATCCAGTTGGAGATGTATAACTGGTGTTTTTATTCATTTTTTAACTCTGAAAACCAGCTTCCCCCTCCTCTTCAATAATAATTTGGTATTTCTTACTGCAAGCATAACTAATGTGTGTATTACTTATTTCACATGACCATCTATTAATATCATATATTGACTGAGAAGAATTATTTGGAATTGGGTAGCTTAGGGGGTCAGATGGTGCTAGTTAATCTACTAACCTATTGTTTCTGAAATGGGGAGAAGGGTAACCATTCTTTTCATGCAATTTCACATTGACATTAATTATCAAATCTGCCATTCTAACAGAACAGAATAACTTCATTCTTTTCTTTATATAATATTCTATTAATTGTTAATAGGGGTTCTTTTTCTGTTAATGCTTATTACTGACATCAACACTTTTTGTTTTCCCCATCAGTACTAAAGAAACAAAGGTGGTTTGATTTGCTATTTTGCTATATTTAGTCATTACTTTCACTTTATGAATTTGTTAATACAAAAATTTAATTCAGTTGTGTTTTAGCCTTTTAAAAAGGAGTTGACCGTAGTCGGGATCATTGAGTCAAGTGAATGATCATTTCCTTAGTAGCATAGTATGTGCTTCACTAGGGCTACATCATACAGTTTTCAATTGTTCAAGAGTTGTCCTTTTCCTAGAGTGGTTACCACCCAAGGCTATAGAACTCCCTCTTCTGGAGGAGGGGAGGGAGAGTTGAATTTGTATCTTGCCCAAGAATATTAGCATGTAAGTGAATATAATGAACTCAACTGGAATTCGAACTCTGCTCTCCAATTCTTCAATCTGAGCTGCAGTCCATTACTCTAAAATTACCAAATTGCTACATCAAAAATGGAATTATCTCCTACTGGTTATATTTAAAATCTGTCATTTTCGACATTTTATTTTTCTTTATTAAAGAAAAAGCTTTTGTTTTTAAGATTGAGGAGCTCAAGAATTTCTTTACAAATGAAGTATTTGAAGTGAAATATAATTTGTTTACTGGATTTAATTATTCTATTAATTTTGATGGAATGAAAATTAGACATTGAATATAACTAAGTCTTTATGCTTATACATTTCAACTGATGCTATTTGGGAAAGAACTCTGGTGGGTTGAGTTTAAAAATTCCTGTTCAGCAGCATGCAAATATTGATATTTTGTTTCTGCTGTAGAGTTTACAAATACTTGGCTGACCACAGTCAAAAAAGAAATTGTTAATGAAGTTTTTACTATTGTTGTCCGTTTTAATCCAGTTAAATGGAGCAATTAACTGGTCATTTGTTATCAAGCTTATTCTTTAATATATTCTGTAAAACATTTTAATCATTTTAATCTTTCTTCTTTTTTTTTTTTTTTTTTTTTTTTTTTTTTTTTTGTGTATGTTGGTGGTGGGTGGATTGTTTGTAAAACTTCATTTTTATGAGGGTTTTTTTTTTTTTTCTTCTCCCCTCTTCCTCCATTTATTACAATTTCTGTAGATAGGCACTTTTCCTGAATGTCAGATTTCTGGATACAACTAAATGTTAAATTCAAAACTGAATTAAAATTAAAAAATTTGCTTGTTTTTTTTTTTTTTTTTTTTTTTTTTCTAAATAATACAGAATCGATCAAATATGAAATATCCATTAAGTTGAAGAAAATAAACAAATTTTTTTTTTTTTTTTTTAATATGATGTCAAATACTTGAGATGGCACCTTCAGTGTCTTATTTTGAAAAGTAATTTAAAGAAATGTATTACAAGGCCTATTTTACATAGGCTATTATTTCTGTTATTGTTACTGTACATTATTTGGTTGCAGGTGCTTCCCAAACTTCTGGTAGAGGAGAAAAAAGAAAACTGTACAGGAGCTGGTGGGTGGGGGTTTCAAAATTTATAATTATTTTTCTTATGAGAAATATTCATCTGATTTGTAAGAATGAATTAAGAATTCCTTATTCTAAAAATTATTCACGTTCTACCTTTGTGACCCGAGATAGGTGTTTGTGACTATGACCATCATATTGGTAGTATGGTAACAGATAATGCATCTAATGTCAGCAGGATGAAGAAAGGGAATTGAATGTCTTAACTTATGAATGTTCAGTGCACATTTTAAATTTTCTGCTTCATGATTTAGAAATTCCTAATGTAAAAGAACATGTTTTATGTTAAATATTTTAGGAGCAATCATGCCTCAGCAAGATACTGTCAAGAAGGTGGTCAATGTCTTGTCATGTCTTGGGACACTAACACAATGTCTGACAGTTTGAAGAGTTATATTAAAAAACTGGCCAATTTGTGAAGTTAGCAGGGATAAAGTAGATTTGTTAGTGTGAAAGAAGGTGGCTCACCTTGCACTGAAATGATCAGAGGAACTGCTTTCTCAATTACAACTCTTATAGCTGAAAAGCTTTGGATGAAATTCAGATTGACACCTACACCATTGCTAAAGCAGTGGATATTTGAAAAGAATTGTTCAAGAATTTTAGAAAAACACTGAACAAAAAAAAAGAAAACTGGTAGAAATGGTGAAAAAAAAAATGTACAACAGTTATCTCTGAAGCCTACTTTCTTACCAACATTGTTCATGTTTATCTTCAAGGAAAATGATTAAGCAAGGAGAAAGTAAATATTGTGATGGAATATGTCTGTGAGAAATATCCCCATTACTATGAAGTTGCAAGCAAAGTTTCCTCCCTTCCAGGCATTTAAATTTGTACACTTCATTAGCAATTCAATCTCCACTATTGAATAGTGAGATTCATGTGCAATGCAAGTACACTTTCTGCAGTTAAGCAACTCCTACCAGCAGTGGCTTCTGGCATTGAATGAGTTTTTTATTCTATGAACTGGTGCATTCCAAACTGAGAAAGCATTTTGGTAAAAATAGTGCAGCAAAACCTGAGTTTCTGTTCAAAAGAATGAATGCAAACACTGATCATGTTGAAGAATTACAAAATGCTTAAGCAAGACATTTGTTACTTGAATGATTTCAGTTTTATTTTATAGTAACAAAAAAAAAAAAAAAGTAAAAATTATTTATTTGATGGTTAATAAATATTTGATCAGTATGTCAAACTTTTCCAAAAACATAGGGATTCAAGTTATATTTTTTTTCTAAATTTTTTTCTTTAAAAATCAATCTTTTTGATAATTTGTGATTTAAATCTGACTTAAGAAAAAATCATTTGATTTAAATTGAACAACACTGATTTTTATTGAAATTACTTGATCATTTGTATTGTTTTTGATGCAGGTTTGTATTTCTAATTTATTTCCCTACCCAATATATTAACAAAAAGGCATAAAAATAATCAAAACAATAATAAGTAGAATAATAATTCCTATTGGTTTAATCATAATATTCAGAATTATGAAGATGTTGCATAAAGTATGACTGGAATAATTACATAAAATTAATGCCAGATTTTTATTTTTATTTTGATAATACTGGATTTTTAGGGTAGGCATTAATGGATTAAGCTGTTGTGAAAAAATTTCCTTCATTTTTTTCTTGTTTTGTGATATTCTTATGGGAAATGTCTTGATTTTTAGCAAATTTGTTATATGCGCTAAATGTTGGTACTTTTATTTTTAGGCACTTCAAGATGAAAAGGAGCAAAAAAAATCTTTAGAAACAAACCAAACAGATACATCTAAGAACACTCCAGGTAAGAAAGTTCTTTATTATTTTTAGATGGATCACTTAATATGCAGTAATTCTGTTAAACAAATAAGTCTTTAATTGTTAAGGTGAGATTGTAAAAGGATATGTATTACTCTCGACCTTTAACTCTCTTCTTTCCAGTTTAAATAATGCTAAGCAGACTATTATGAAATTTAGTTTCGCATAGTCTGACACAGGACTATTATGGTGGAGCACCCAGTGATGACCAAACTCTGTTACAATAACTTGCAGGTTTAGCACATACCCAAATAAAATATTTCTGCTTTACTTTAACTGCTGTTACTCAGAGAACAGCTTTAATAAGATGAATCTAGTTTAAATGAATGCAAAGAGAGTCAATATTCTATGTGAAAATTTAGAGAATGTTTTTTTTTTCTCCTAACACAATTAGGTAGAAACTTTAATTTTTAGAAACTGGATATGAAATGAATGAAAAGAAATAATTCCAAACATGACAATGATTGCATCAATAATGTTAAGTAAGATAAGTAAAATCTTGTTTTTGTTATTCAGAATAAGTGAAGCAGGCAAGACAAACCCACATTAATTTTTTTTTTTTTTTAAGTTTTTTATTTATTTATTTTATTTTTTTATTTTATTTTTTTTCAGTAAATACATTTTAAAACTTGTAATTATCTAGGGATAATTTCTATGTAAGATATTTTTAGTGATTTTTAGTTACAAGTAATATGAAAATGTAATGAATGCTAGAGAGGATAGGAAGATTGTGTTGTCATTCTTCCAACTGGGAAAGACATACCAGCTGTAGGAATTGGCATTTGAAATCCTGTCTTTCACCTTGATTTCAAACACTGAAAGTAAACATGCTTCCCCCACCCAATGAAGGTAGATTTGATACTCTGGACAGCAATGATTGGAGGACAAAAAGAAGTCCAGGCATGAATTTCAAAAATGGGAATATTAATTGTAATTGATGTGATTTGGTACTGAATATGTTAGAAATGTGTACGAGATTAAAACAAATTGGTATTATTCCTCATGGATGCTTGTTTCCAAGCATGTTCACCTGTCACATTTATGTTTCTTAAGCATCCACATAGCTAACTTGTGGCTTGTACTGCAACTATACTGAGTGGATCTTAGTTACAGTTCAAGTATGTACCCCACCATGGCCACATATGGTTTTGAATTCAGAGTTGTCCTTTTACACTGGTTAACTCGCATAGCTAGAAGCTTTACTGTAATCTGACTACAAATGCACAGGTCAAGTTGAAATTGGTTATTCCACCAAACCACACTGAAAATTCTGCTCAGAATACATAGCTGCCCCAAACTTTGGGTGCATACATCTCACTATGACTTATTCATGGGTGACAAATGAATGAACCACAAATGCTTCATATATGCTTATTTTATGACTGCAATATCTTTTTTCATAAAATCTCTTGAATATACAAAGTGGAGTTATCTAAAGAATTTTTTTTTTTTTTGCATTCAACCATTTCCATCCATTCAACCACAGGCTAGTTTTCATTAGTCCTTGAAATTGGGTATCAGTTTTAAATCAAAAGACAGCTTTTTGAAGTTGTCAAAATAGTTTATAGTGAAGTTGGTTCAGTTTAAAGAAAAAAAAAAGAATTACAAGAAAAACTCAGTAGATGAAAAGACACAAGTTCAGCACTTCTAGATTGTTGTAGCAAAACTTCTACTACACAGAAACATGCAAGAATCTATCACTGCTAAACTTCGGGGGAGTGGGGAAAGTCATGAAATTCACTCCTAGGCTGTTTTCCTCTGTTTTATATATTGAGAGCAGTCATCTTGAATTATCTTCTCATCAGTTAATCTTAAATGGTCACATAGAAGCAAAATGAACTTCAAAAGTCAGTATTTGTCCTACAAAAAAGTGATACTGTGTAGATTTTGGATTTAGAATGGAATTCACACTGCTCTGATGAGTTCCTTAAGGAGCAAATGATTGAGCCAAACAAAGACTGATCCCAATTAGGCCAATTAAAGGAAAAGCAATCACCAAAAAGCATCCAACTATAGCTTCTATATGAGAGAAAAAAAGTAATAAAAAAGTAATATTTCATCATCATGCAAAATCTCCACCTTATAGAAAAAATCGCTACTGTGTCAAGCCTAAGACAGAGGGAAACATTACTAAGAACTGTGTTTACTACATTTCTTGCAGTTGTGGCAAAAAATATAAAGGAAAAACTAGCCACCCCTTAAAAGTAAGATTGGAGAAACATTGGAAAGCTGTAATTAGGGCTGAAAGAATGCCAAGAGGATTAATCCCCTTGATGGCTGTTGCACAAGCCACCAAGGCTAAGGTACAACCAGTGATGGACTATAGGGATATAAATCAATATGTAGATGCCTTTACAGCGGATGCAGACATGTGTGCCAAACGAATGTAGGAATGGCGTCAGCAAGGAGCTGATGTGGCTCTGCTTGACCTGCGAAAAGCATATCTTCAAATATGAATCCATGACATGTTGTTATGGCCTTTCCAAACTGTTATCGTCAAAGGAAGGAGGTACTGCTTGATGCGCCTGGGGTTTGGCCTTAATGTGGTTCCCCTAATTATGAAATCAATCATTAAGACAGTGCTAGATCAGGATGAGCTGATGAAAAGAGCTGAGTTGGCATATGTCAACGACGACATACTTTCGGTGAATGAAGTCGGGCACAGATTAGAATTCTTTGGCTTATCTAGCAAAGACCTTATTCAATTAAAGGATGGGGCTGATGTGCTTGGGCTTAAAGTCTGGGTGGGACGCAACACATTGCGGTGGAAGCGAGGGAGCTCAGTTCTGGAACTCCCTGCTACACTAACGCAAAGCACAGTATTTTCTGTATGTGGGAAGTTAGTGGGGCACTTTCCTGCCTGCGGGTGGCTCTATGTAGCCGCAGGAATGATAAAAAGACGAGCGAGCATGATAACAAACGGGTGGCATAACAATATAAAAGACGCTCCTCTTACGCAGGTGATTGTTGAAACACTAACTAAAGTGCACCAAGATGACCCTGTTAGGGAAATCGGTGTGCCATACCATGTGAAAAGGTGCGTGACTGGAGAAGAAGTCAACACATGGGTTGATGTAAGCTCCCTGGCAATAGGTGTAGAGCTGGAAAAGTGGGGAGTTATACTAGAAGATGCATGCTGGCTTCGACCAAGAAATGACGCACAACATATAAACCTGGCTGGATTGGATGCCACGTTAAAAGGTATGAATCTGGCATTACAGTGGCGGGCCAAGGTGGTACACCTATACATGGACTCGGTATGTGTGTACCAATGGCTACAGAATATTTTGACAGGTAAGACCTGAGTGAGAATGAAAGTTGCGAGCAAAATGCTAGTGTGCAGGAGACTGGTTAACCTACAGCAGCTAATCGAAGAATTGAAATATTGACAGACAGCGCCCCAACTTTCTGTAGCCAAGATTTTCAGGGCTTCATGGTCGAATGGGGAGTGCAAGTAAGGTACAGAGGCGCATACACTCCAGAGGGTAACGGGATAGCGGAGCTGTGTCACCACACCGTTAAAAGGATAGCAGCCAGAACACGGTGCTCCGTTCAAGAAGCTGTGTATTGGTACGTCATGCCCAAAGAGGGTGTAACACCATCAACTGCACCTGCCAACATACATACAGACAGCAGATAAAAGGAAAAGACCAAGTAATACCAAATATTCCGAAAAATACCAAAGAACCATTAGATTTAGCAGAGGACGCATTGATGCAGTTATTAGCTCCCAAAAAGTCCAGGCTAATGGTGTGCCATACCATGTGAAAAACACAAGTTGTGACACAAGTTAACTGCCTCAGAACAGCGTCACAGCAAAGAAACATTGTGTGATATTGATTCAGAGACAACAATGTTGTACAATGCAGTTGGATGGTCTGCTGCCTGTATCGGATAGTACAGATTTGGATAACGAGGAAGGCCATAATGACCCTGAAAATGCCAAGGACCCACAGAATGTAGACGTGGCAGTACTGCCACCGGAAACATCCCTTCCACCTCTACATGTGATAATGAGATCAGGGGAGAGTGTGAGGAATGAGATTTTCCTTCTGCAAAGCGAATTTGCTTGGCATGTCAGGTGATGTTGAAAGATCGTGACTGCCATTAAAAGTGAAATGAAAATTTCTATCTCATGTGCAGACGTACAAAAAAAAAAAAAAGACTAAGAATTTAAACCAGCTTGAATTTATGAAATAGAAAGTCTCAGGCGAATGAGAATTAAGTCTCTTATGCAAATTTTAGTCAATACAACACCCCCACCCCCACCACCGATGCAGACATAAATAGCGAGTCTGTGATGATGATGGTAGAACTCTCGTTGGTGTAATGTCATGTACTGACAATAACAAGAGAATAAGGAAGAGGTCACTTGCGATAGCTCAGTTGGAAGAGTGGAGGACTGGAGTGAAGAAAGCAAGTACTTTAATCCATTTCAGTTATCACAAACAACTGGCGAACTGAATTACCCACACCTCATAGTAGTATTCCTTGATCTTTAGGGTTGGATAAGAGATGTACAGTTGTTCGTTATTATTCTTAATACAATAGTTCAGCTTGAACAGTTGGCCAGAATTAAAATAATTTTGCATTTTTTCTGATAGGCCTCCAGAGGTGTAGTGTGCTCTGGCTTCTGGTACAAGAAAATAAAAAAAAACAACTTTTCAAACCACTCTTTCGTGAATGCAGTTGTTATCCAGCCTTTCCTGTTATTACTGGATAAAGTTTTTACACCTTTCAAGAACTTAGGGCATTTATGTTTTCTAATCACTAGGAGCTTACACCTGTGGGTATTGGCAGTGCTATAACTCTAGCCTTATATTGTTTAAAGCCTGTTGACTGTTCTTCAACCTTCATTGATAAAGTTCTCTTTGGGTTGCCATGCCATTATAAGGCCGTTTCATCAGCTGCAGTTTTCTTGTCAAATTCATTGACATACTCAGCTCCTTTGTAGTCTGCAGACCATTTTTCTAAGCACACGTTTTG